GTCATACAGAGTTGTGCGAGGTCTTATTTTGATCAGAAACATTTGCTCTACAAAGCTGTGTTTTCAAAAAAATTTTAATTGCATGAGTATCCAGGAAAAAAAACATTATTTAAAGACCCATTTTTTCGAGGCTCTTGGAAAACTTGCTGAAAATCCCCGAAAAACCAGTTTTGTAACCGAAAGCAATACAGATTCTGGAAGTAGACACTTCAGGCTATCTTTACATGTGTGTATCTTAAAACCGATTTTTTGACCGAAAATCACCATTTCTGAGGGGGGGGGGGGGGCCCTTAATTATCGCCAANCCCCCCCCCCCCCCCCCCCCCCCCCCCCCCCCCCCCCCCCCCCCCCCCCCCCCCCCCCCCCCCCCCCCCCCCCCCCCCCCCCCCCCCCCCCCCCCCCCCCCCCCCCTTAAGTAAGACGAAAGATGATATTATAAGACCATATCAAGATTTGATGGTTTTTTTCTAGAGATGTGTACTTCGAGATTTTTACATATTCGGAAGCAGCAAAAGTGAACGCAGTATGTAGCTGTAGACATCACACATACTGCGTTCACATTTCTTTCTTTTGATCTTATTTTTCTTCCGTCTCATGTTTTTATAGACATGAATAGAGCTTTATTTCTCTTTCTAGCAAAAAACAAATTTTCTATTTTAATCTAGATATTCAATTATTATGTCTAAAAGCAGTGCTCATCCTATATTCTAACAACTTTGCGAATTAAAATTAAATTAACTAGAGAGGACCCTTTTCTACTTTCTATACTAGTTTGAAGTATAAAAATTGTACTATATATTGATGGATTTTCTAGAAAAAGATCCTTTTTAGTTTTTGAGATATGTGTTTTTCAATATTGGTAATTAACGTCTAACAAATCATACTTGCTTCTTTCAGCTAGATAAGCTGTTCTTTTTGACTACCATGACTTTCCGGCTTCCTCTTCGGGTCATGATAATCAGAGATAACGTGTTCATACTTTACTTATTCAGTGAATAATCATATTAAATGAAATGAAGTAGAAATGAAACATCAGAATAAGATTAACACTAGAACGTCCGGAAATTTTCATGACCTAGAACTCCCAAAGCGGTCATTTTGACCGTTACTATTTTTTTAAAAATTTTATACTTAAAAATGGTTCTGAATTAAAAAATGAATTAAAAATTCTGCAAAAAATAATTTTTGTGGGATAAATTAAAAGTTATGACATAATTTAAATAAATTGTTTGCAGTTTGTTTTATTAAGGAACGGTCAAAATGACCGCTATGGGCGTTCTAGTGTTAAATTAAAATTCGGGTTTTCTTTGAGATTTTTGTATATTAGCAATTAGTATAATCGATTACGTGGTACAATATGGCTCGTATATATGTATATAGAACGTCATTTCTCTTTAAAGAACAATATAAGAAAAGGCAGAACTTTATATTTATATTGAAATTTATTCTATGTTCAAAAGAGGCAGTGCTGACTGTGAATTTGTTCTATATCCTGCCCACTTCGCGACTTAAAACTACAATAACTAGAGAGGACCCTTTTCCACTTTCCATACTAATCTGAAATACACAATTTGTACTATATGTTGATATATATTTCAGAAAAAGGTCCCTTTTAGTTTTTAATATATAGAACTGTCAATAGAAAAGTAAAACACATACATTTTACTAGCTTTAATCTGTGATGTTAACAGCTCTATATATTAAAAACTAGAAGGAACCTTTCTCTAGAATATATATCAATATGTAGTACAACTTGTGTACTTCCGATTAGTCTAGAAAGTGAAGAAGGGTAATCTCTATTTATTTTAGTTTTAAGTCTAGAAGTGGGCAGAATATGAAATAAATTTACAACTAGGTTTAATCTAACATCAGTTTTAATGTCTAACTCAGATGTGAAACGAAAGGTCTAAAAGTTTGAATATAGCTCTCTGTTTTTCTCTCGTTTGTTAGCCTTTTCAGACTGCTGAGAATTCTGAGTGAATCTTCGAATTTTACACGTATGCTTACAACAGAAACATGGAGGCATTTAGCATCTACAAAATAGCTATGTAGTTCTTTTCATCTCTCAAAAGACGAATGAATAAAAGCAAGACAACTGTTGTTTAAGTTAGATAAGTTCCCGCTTTGAATCTTCGCCACACTAGTCCTATAATTTTGCCACAGGTAATAGCAGTTAACTATTATCTGGTTTGAGCATTTGACTTATTTTGATGTGAGTAACGTGTTTCTGCAGCGCTTTTTCGACTGCTAAGTGGGCTCATTTTGCGGATAACTACAACAAAATTCGAAGTTATTAGAAATAAGTGTCCAAAATGTAATAAAAATGTTTACGCAGCTGAAGAAATGATTATAGCTGGAAAACATTGGCATAAATTATGCTTTAAATGTGGTAGGTGTGCAGTTTCTTTACAAGACGAAATAGTTTGAGTACTTTTTGTTCAGGATCTTGCGGCAAAAAACTAGAAATACTGTCACTGAAAGAGCACAATGCTGATATCTATTGCAAACAATGCTACGTTAGTAAAATTCATGAAACTGCAAATGCGACAACAAATACTAGGTGAGATATCAAGCATAGTCATCGTCGCAGTTGCAATTTTTTTCATTAATTCTTTTTCCTAGTCCAATAGATGACAAAATTTTGCCTGATGTTCACAAAAAAAGTGAAAAAATGGACAGAAAGAACTCAAGAGTGTTAAAAAATCAAGAAGAAAATCTGGAATTGTTTACCCTAATATGGCTCGATGCAGACGTTAGCAGTACAGCTGAAAATGTGGAAACAGCATCTAAACTACGACGTATTATCAATTTTATAAAATTATTCGATAACGTTAGTGACTGTGAATGGTATATTAGAGGCATAAAGCAAGAGAAAGTGGTTCTCATTGTTAGTGGAAGTTTAGGGCAAAACATAGTACCTAATATACACAATTTACAACAGCTAGATGCAGTATATGTTTATTGTATAGATAAAGTAAAGAATCAGCAGTGGTCAGAAAAGTACAAAAAGGTATGTTTTTTGAAAAAATAAAAGTAGTTGTCAAATATATGTGTGTTGCAGGTAGTGGATGTTATCATTCAGACTGATGAATTGATAACAAAAATTTCCAAAGAGCAAGTATATCGTAACAAAGTAGAAGATCTACCGTCAGTCACTGTCTACGATCAGACACATAAAAATCTGTCAACAGAAAACGGAAATTTCATTTGATTTCAACTGTTTATCGAGACGTTAGTTCGGATGGATAACAAGAAAGCTGATCACAAAGTACTGTCACAGCTAATGACACAAAACTACGATGACCAAACGATAATAAACGAATTTGTTTTGAGATATCGACCTGAGAAAGCCGTCTGGTGGTACTCACGGGACAGTTGCATCTACCAAATTCTGAACAAAGCATTAAGAGTTCAGGACATGGACATGTTATTTAATTTTCGATTTCTGATCGCTGATATTCTGAATCAGCTTAAAACTGAACAAAATAATTTCAAAGAATCTAAAATAAATTTGTATCGTGGTCAAATAATGTCATTGACAGAAGTCGAGAAAATGAAAACAAGTATTGGTCAACTAATATCGATGAACTCCTTTTTTTCAACAAGCTTAAATCGAGATGTAGCTCTTCAGTTTGTCAAATTGATCAGCAAGTTTAGTGGGAATATGCAATCTGTTTTATTTGAAATTGAAGCAAATACCGATTTAAAAGAAACAAAACCATTTGCTCTTATAAAACATTTAAGTTATTATGAAAAAGAAGACGAAGTTTTGTTTATGCTCGGCTTAATATTTCGACTTGTATGTGTTGAATTCGATGATAAGGAAAACGTGTGGAGAATCGAACTAGTACTACAAAGTGAAAATGACTACGAACTGAAGAATGTTTTAAATTACAAGAAAGAGGATATGGAAGACAAGACTAGCCTCTTGTCACTTGGCAGACTGCTATCTGACATGGGTAAATTGAATCAAGCCCAAAAATATTTTTATTGTGTGATAGATGATCTGTTAGAAGTCGGGGATCGACAAATAGCTTTTTGTTATTATGAGCTTGGAAATATTGCTCGTGCAAAGGGCAATTACGATGATGCTCTATTTTTATTTCAAGTAGTTCTTGACCTAAAATCAAAATATTTTGCAATTAACAGTGCATCTATGGCAGCAACTTATTCTAGCATTGGTAGTACTTATATGTGTAAATGCGAATACGAATTAGCATTAGAGAACTATACCCGCTGTCTTCAGATTTTCCTGGCCACTAAAGGGCCAAAATGATGTGACGACAGCGCAAGTTTATCATAATATCGGCAGCGTATATCTTCAAGGAAACTTTGATCTAGCCAGAGTAAATCTTGAGAAATCGTTGAATATTACATCGAATAAATTACCGGCAGACCATCCGAATTTTGCTCTTCTTTACGCGAGCTTCGGTGAACTTTACAAAAATCAACAGGATTACAAACAGGCAATTGCTTTTAATAAACGAGCGCTGGATATTCAGCAGAAAACTTTGCCCAAAAATCATAAGGATATCGGCAAGACCTATAGTAGTACTGGTGACTGTTATTCCGATGCTTTTCGATATAGTGAGGCTCTTGAAAATTATCAGATGGCGTTAGAAATATGTCAGAGCGCTCTGCCACCAAGTCATCCACGCATTAAACGAATAGAAGACCGAATCAAAAGCATTACAAGTAAGCTCATGCATGACAGTTGTTAGAGCAATTGAATTCGGCAGACATAACGGTAACTTGTAACGTAAATAACGATTCATGATAAGAACATCAGTTTATGCGACAAACATACGCTCATCAATTCTTCTATATAGTTATTTTCACAAATTCTTTTCATTCAATTGATAAATTAGCAAACTACTGGCGTTAGGTATTCGTGCACGGTTGTAAAATAAATTTATGTGTTTGGACACTAGAAATTTCTAACATTTGAAGATCAAATTGGAGAACAGTATTAAGAAAAAGGGTATACCTTACAGGCAATGTTTACAGGTATTCTAAGAGTTATCTCTTTCCTTGACTCTCAATAAGCAAAGAATATAAAAACACTGCAGTTCGGTACAATGTAACGTCGTAGTACTCGATCCGTCAAGCGCAGTTGAAAACGTTGCAGACCCTCTTCGTTATCTATACGCGTTTAACATACACAATTGGACTGGAAGACCATGTATCTGTCGAGAAAAATTATTGTCAAAGAGTTGTACTAGAATAAATAAGCTATGAGAATATACGTGTATTTTAGAAATTATAGAGTATAAAAGTGCTATGAATATCATTATAACGGGTGGCGCATAATAAATGGAACACTTTTGTTCTTTATTTTTAAGGCACTTCCGAATGATCTAAAAATCTATTTCTAGTCTCATTCGATAGAGAATTGAATTCTCTACAGAGCCTGCTTTTTGAATCTCTGATAGCATTTTTCTTGTTTGAGCACCATTCAAAATATTGAATAGTGCTAAATTCTCGAACTGCGACATACCGAAAACAGAAAAATATTTGCCTTGACCCCAGAACAGATTTCATAAGAATTTTGAAAACATCAGAAGATTCACCGGAAAATGCTGCATCTTCTTACACATTCTTCAAAATTCTACAGTTAAGTTTTCTACGAAAATTTCTCTTTGCAAAAAGATGATAAATCTGAAAAAATCTAACTTTTGAATCTATTTTTCACAGATTTTTATTTTTTGCTTATAAAAGCAGTAAAACGTTATGAATCCAGGGTTTTAGCCTTGTTATCGTACACAGAATTAATTTCTGCATCTTTTGATATATAAACAAAGTTTCTCAATTGAAACCATTAATTATAAAATTAATTTAGTTTGAAAAAGCGTGAAAAGCCGGTTGAGCACTATTTAGGGGCCCAGCTGACGTAGCGAAAACATTATATGAAGTTATAAATGAGTGAGACCGATAGAGCACAAAAGTCTCTATTTTTCTACCTAGAAAAGCAACTATTGAACCTCAGACAATGGGCTAAAAATCTCAAAAAAGCACATAACAAAAGCACGTCGCAGTTTGAGCATTTAGCACTATTCAATATTTTGAGTGGTGCTCAAACGAGAAAAATGCTATCAGAGCTTCAAAAAGTAGGTTTTGTAGAGAATTCAATTTTCTGTCGAATGAGACTAGAACCAGATTTTTAGATCATTCGGAAGTGCCTTAAAAATAAAGAACAAAAGTGTCCCGTTTATTATGCGCCACCCGTTAGATTTTATTTAAAAATCCCTTTATTAGTTTAAAACTTGAAGTATCTCAAAATTTTTAGCTGATTTCCTTTTTTGGTGAAAATCTCGATAATTTTCCAACGCGAAAATTCGAAATTAGTCGGATAGAATAGAAATGCACATCAATCAATTCAGTTTTTGACCCTGATTCAGAATATGATATTTTTATTACACAAAGTTGGGTTCTATTAGAGAAAATCGACAATTATGGGCAGAATTCTAACTTTTTCTTGATATAGAAAAAATGTATTTTCTCAACTATGAAATAAAATTTAAAAATAGTGAAGCATATTTTCAAATCCAAGGCTTACATCGAATGTAATGACGTTCAAATAACGGCATCAGATTTTAACACAAAAAACTAGATAGGTTTATAAAATTGCTTGGCTATGTTTACGGGATTCGTTTGGGACAGACATACTGGACAGGCTGCTAACTTGAAACTGATCAAACACCATTTTTCTATTCAATTTTTAGTGCAGAATAAGAGAGAAATACTCAAAAAAAAAACTCTTATGAACCCGACTACTTTCAGTATTCATGCGCTGCACATCAAAAGGAATATTCCTTTTGGAGCCTTAATACGTGCGACTAGGTATTCATCGACCTTTGAATTGTTCTCGAAAGAAGAGGCATATATAAAGATAGCCCTTCTTTCGAATGGATTTGAAATAGAATTCATTCAAACGCAATTCAAAAGAGTTTTCGAAAAAAAATTCTGTACAGACTCTGAAACCATCTAATTTTTCGCAGCTTCGAGAGGTCCCGTTTCAGGATTTTTTCTATACCACAAATCTAAATTTTGGCCAAATTGATTAGACCTCGATGCTATTTCATTTCACGTTCTATGAGGGAATAGGTAAGTTTGGATCTCATTTTCATTTTGGTTTATTTCATACCTGGTTACCCACACATCTTACGTAGACCGGGAGATGACTCCTTCTACCGAAGGAGAAAACTGAGAGAGCGGCTTTTCTACCCACACAGATGTGATTTCGCTAGAGATCAGGAGCATTTTGCCGTAACATGGCAGGACCGGTTTGCTCACATTCAACGTGTGAGTCCTTCTCGAGCCTGAGTGTAACGAACCAGTTGCTCAACTCTGACCCGAGTGTCGATGACAAAGGTGACAGTGATTGACCTTATGTGTGGTTCGCTATCTTTCCGAGCCTTTTTTTTCGAAAAATCATCAACAAATAACTGATACAAAACTAAAAGAATCTCTATGTGTATGTTGACCAAATAGACTGAGAAGAAAATGTTCAATTGCTAGAAAATAATTGTTTTTTTTTTTGGGTGATGATGGTGTATCGGGAATAAGTTTATCGAATACCGATGGTTGTTCCAAACGATATTTAGACATGTTCGCTTCAAGGTCATAATGATTATATGAAATGTAATCGTACATATCAGCAGCTAAATACCCCGATTTTTTCGTCGACGATTGCGATAACCCTTTCTTTCCTAAGGCTAAAGTTTAAGGTCTGGAACTGAAATTCGTCCAACATTGTGATCACAATGGTCTCTAATATGCGCACGAAAAGTTTGAATCAGATCGATTAAGTGCTAATATAGTACATTTGTTTGAGCTGCAAATATAGATTTTATGAAGAATTTTATATTCAGATTATTGATATACAATC